CATCAGTGCATAAGGAGGTGTCTTGAGCTGATCAAACCTTAGTATAGTCTTGGGTCTAAGGAGACCTTGTGAGCAAATTCTTGATAAATGAGAGGGAAAATTTTGGAGTACAACAGTATAGTTAGTTAACACCTCAAAGAAGATGAGACTAACATCCTAAGGGAACATGTTATTCTTACAAGAAAGAAGAAGAGAGAAATGATAAGCAAAAGAGTGCTCTTGAGCAAATGAAGAAAACATGAAAGTAAGCAATGATCAAAGAAATAATGGTCGTGATGATAGTAATGCAAACTAAATGAGGCAGTAACAAAGGAACCAAGTTCCAATCATGATGGATCAAAGGTTTTTTTAACAAAAGAATGCATCAAAACAAACTCCTAACCTTGATCACATTTGATGAATTTTTAGGCACATAAACAAAAACAAGTTAGGATGCTTAAATGGTTCAACAATTTTGAAACCGTAATCATGTCACGAGGATGAGGTAAAAAAATGAGAATCAAATTCTTAAAGGTTGCATAAATGCATTCCATGTACCTCACAAGACAAGCACAAAATGAATCACATTTTAAAAGAAAGATCAAAGTGATCAATTGAAGTAAAATGCATATCAAGCCTTTAGAAGACTATCATGGAGCTTATCATACCTTTAAGTATCAATTACAACCAAAAAGTGTACAAGAACATGATTTAAATATCAAATGCAATCAAATTAGGGTTTTACAAACCACACAAACTGTATGCCCAAGCTAAAAATCAAATGATCAACATATAATTTTCAATAAATGAAAACATGTGACATACCATTAAATCACTCCAATGATCATAACATACCCAAAGATTGACCTTAAAATATGTCCATAAGCTTCAAGGTGAAGCTTGACTTCCAAAGGGACATGCTCACTTCAATATTCCATGAAAAAATAGAAAAATAGGATATAAAATCCAAACAAGAATGATCAAAGGAGATCAAGTATGTTACAAGTCAGAACCAATCCTTGCTCAACTTAAAAGTTCATGGAAATATCAAAATTAAATCAAAAGATCAATACTAGCTCAAAACTAGGCTTAAATGACCACTAAACAAAATAAAATTGTAAAAAATATGAAAACAAGAGGTAAAATTCAATAAAAATGAGAAACAAGTTCTTAACGTCTGAAGTAAGCTCAAACATATTTTTGTGGATTTTTGAGATCAATGGAAATGAGTGAATTATATTGAAACTTCAAAAAGAAGCAATAAAACCTCAAAAACCATTAAATCATTTCTCAAATTTTGAAAACCAAACAAAACTTAAAATAAATAAGGTTTAATACCATGAAAAAATCAAGAAAACTCAGAGGAACATGAAAATATTTTTTGTGATTTTTATAGTTCCTAAACAAGTCAGAATTAATTTTATACCAAAAACTATGCAAAATAAGATCATTAAAAACACTTTTAACCATTTTATTTAATTAATATGGAAAAATGTTCGAAAAAATAAATAAAAGTAAGAATAATAAAATAGAAAATTTTAAAATTTATTCATGATTTTTTCCAGAATTGTTTGATGAATAAAAGTATTTTAAATAAATTAAAGAAGTCAAAGAAATTAAATGACAAAAAAACAAAACAAAAAAAATATATAAATGATATGGTCAAAAAATTCAGCGCCTGGGCCCCACTCAGTAACATGGACCGATCACGTTGCAGGCCAATGATTGGCCACTACAAGACAAAAGAGATGATCCACCAATCAAAACGCGATGGGTGTCATTCATGAAGCAATTTATTTTTAGAAAAACCCTAACATGCGCGTGATTTTCAGGCCCCTTCAAGTCCAAATTTCTCATCTGATTCTCAACGAAATTGAAAAGTTTAAACACCAAAGTTGTAGATCTCAAAAATATCTACAACTTTGATTCAAGAAGTTTTTGAAATGGTTGAGAGATGAGTGAGAAATTTGGGCGAGACGTTGAGTAAAAAATCAAAATCAACCATATTTTTAAAAATGTATGCTGACTTCAGTCCTAGATTTATCACTCAATACTTGATGAAATTAAAAGGTGTAAACACCAAAGTTGTAGATCTCAAAAATATCTATAATTTTGATTCAAGAAATTTTTGAAAAGGTTTAGATCTGGGAGAGAAATCTGTGCGAGAAAGGAGCATAAAAATACTTTTTCTCATGTTTTTCAGATCTGAATAACTTCATATAAACACAAATAAAAATAAATGCCCTTAAGAGAGGGACTCATTAGCAACACAAGAGTAATAGTACACGATTTTCATATGCAACATGTAAAGGTTTAAGGTTTAATGAAGTTACCTAGTGGAGAAAGAGTCCACTTCCCTCTTGTGCCTCCAAATGGAGAAGAAACTCATAAAACTTGCTTGTATCTTCCCTCTTTAGCTCAAATAAAGAACTTTGATGCCCAAAAATTTCAGAAAAGAGCTTAATTTAAGAAATAGAGAGGTAAGACAAGAATGTGGTTTTTGGTGAGAAAGCTGAATGATGTGTGTGTATGTAAATGAATCACATAGGGTGTATTTATAGGACCATAAGATGAGGATGGGATAATCATTACAAGCTTAGAGCCGTTGGAGGGTATAGTTGGAAGAAATTGAAAATTTAAGCCTTGGTCACCAAGTTTGCATTTTGAAAGAGAGTGAGGGTGCACTCTTTGCATTTTGGACAACTCATATATACAGTAGCATGTGCCCAAAAGATGGTACAGGTTAGTGGAGTGTGGAGAGAGAAATATAGAAATGGCTATTTTGGACAATTTTGAGGCTTTTTATGTAAAATTGGTACAATTGCATGCATGGGTGTGAATATAAGGCTTGATTCTCTTATACATGACCAAAATAGCTTATGGGCTTGATTGGAGTAAAAAAGAATGTCTAGAAATGAAGAAATCAAGAAATTGCAAATTTTGACTTGGTAAATTTCAATAAAATATAGTCCCAATGTAAAGGGAATAACTCTCTCAACTCTTTGAATTATGTCACTAACTCTGACTTTTTGGAAAGGTCTCGAGATGCTTTACAACTTTCATGTTGGAAGCTTTTTCATTTGGATCCATTAAAGTCACTAAAACTGGCCACGAAAATCTGAAATTTTGAGAAATGACTTATAATCTTCAAAAGTGACCTATAATTCCTTGCTCCTTAACTCTTAAAATAATCACTTTTTTGGAATGAGACCATAACGAAAAAGTTGTAGATATTATTTTTCTCTTTCCAAACATGTAAAGTTTTCATATTTTCAATAAGAAATGAAGAAGTTATAAATTTCTGAAGTTTAGCCTTATGACTTTCCACACCTTAGAAAATTTTCCAATTTCACCAAGATACCTTCATGAACAAGTTAACTCCAAAATCCATACTTCTATTTAATTTATTCAACCATAGGATATATGATGTTGAAACATGATCTTTGACTTCAACTTTGACCAAAAGTCCACTTGGTCAACAATTGACTTTTGTTGACTTTTGCTAAAATGACCAGATAATCAAGATTAAGAAATTTAACCTCAAACAATGCCAACCAAAGGCCCACAATCCATATGATAATGCCTTAAGTCCTATAAAAGTCATTTAGAACCAATTCTTTCAAGAAAAATGTCAGGAAATATCTTTGTTAGAAAGTTGATTTTTTAGTCAGCCAAGTCAAAATTTCACCAATCTTCCAATGCAAAACTTTGAGTAATCTTGTGATGAATCCAATGGTCATACTTGATTCCTTGGGCCATAAATTGATTATAGAAAACAAGTCTTGATGAAAGTGAAGCTCATAACTTGAAAGGGGCCAAAACCCTAATTTTTGATTGAATAGCTTAGGATATGGTGACTGAAGATCAAAACCCTAATTTCTCAGAGATTCCTGAGAAATCCAAGGGGCCAATGAACTTGAATCAATAAGGAGATCATGAACATGAGTTCCCACACAACTTTCCTTGAGAAGCTCAATCTCTTAATTGATGGATAATCTTGAGCAAGGAGAAACCCTAAGAACCTTAATCCCATGAGTGTATCAATGAATATGACCTAATGGTAAGTATGCAAATGCAATAAACCAGATGAAAAGATATAAGGGTAGGAAAAATTTATGGGTGACAATGGTGATACATTGGTTTGGAGTATGTTGTGCTTTTCTCCATACGTGTATGTGAAGATGGAAAGGAGTTGATGGAGTCGTTTCCTTTGTTTGCTTGATAGTATGCTGAAATTCTGATGTGGGATTATTTTGGTCTCAATATTTTGGTTTGGGAATTCCCTTTAATATCTCTAATGGATGCTATTTTTGAACCACTTATGAAAAAAAAAAATGTAGTAGTAATATAAATTTAGAATCATTGGAGTCTATATTGTAAACTTGTTGCTTTTAATTTAGAATCTTGAACTTCTGTTATTTGGTTATATTAAATATTTGTATGTTGACTATGAAACCTATTATAATATTCTACAGTGTATTACTATATATCATTAGTGTGCTAATGAATGTTTTTGAGATTAATGTAGGCTTATGTTTTATTTATTGGCTCACCAAAGTGTTTTATTACCTCATTACTCGAATATTTTCTAAATCAATTGTTCACAAACGAATAAATTAAAACACATTGCATAGTTTTAATTTAGATGTTTAAATTAATAATAATTTGCAGATAATTAAAAAAGAGTACATTAAAATGCAATGTTGGAAATTTTAAAAAATTTGTACAAAAGTTTGAAAACTTTTTAGAATTATAGTTGCTGTTAAAATATTATCAAGAGATTAATATAAATTATAATTAAGGAACACACAAATTCCCCCCGACATGTATAATCAAATGGCCTAATTATTATCATATTCATAGGGCCCAAAGGTGTAGATGTTGATCCAAGAATATGAGACACAAAGCATGTTGGATTATTAAGGGTGTGAAGATTTAAAGGCAACACACACACACAAGTCATTATCTCAACCCGTCTTTACCAAGACTGCTTATGTACTTGTTTATTCAAAAATCCTAAAATGTCAAGAAACAGTCTAGTTACTCCGGTTGAAAGGTTTCATCTTATATGATATTTATCTCCTTTTACACAGTTATGGACTCTATTTAATTTTGTGTTATAATTTTTGTAGATCCATTAAAAGTACCATGCAAGTGAAAAATCGTAAGAGGAAAGGGGTTGCTACAAGTGAAGACCAACAAGACAGTGAAAGGTATATCATCATCTTATATTATGTTGAAAGTAAATATAAATTTAGTTGTTATAAGTATTAGTAGGTATTTTAGTGTTTATACGGTATGCATGGATGTATGAAAAAATAAACTTTTAATGCTAATGTGGTTTATGTTGAAAGCCACCCACGATTCTTTGTATGGAAGAGGAATAACAAATTCGGAAACCCAGCCTCAAGAAATGTTTATGTAAGTTCAAAAATTAGCATTGATATATGTGTAATTCAATACATGATTTTAATTTGTTATATATTGATATAACTTTTTGGTGATGTGTAGAAAATCCCACAGAAAGTTATAAGTGAGTGTTTGCAATCCGGTCTAAGGCGTATTCAGATTGTTGATTCGGATGGTGGAGAAAGGTATGACTGTGAACTTCACCTTGATGAATGGATATTTTTAGTATCTACCATCTATAATTTTAAGACAAAAGTGGTACAATATAGATACTCCAATTAGATATTGATTTTTTTGTTAACTAATTAGTTTGAAAAGGACCATTATTGGCATGTAAAATATTTATTCGATTTACTAAGTTGTTGGTTATTAGTTAGTAAGATACACAAACTACAGATGTTATATTTCAATTTCATCTGAGATTGTGAGGATATTAGGTTAAACCTGGTTATGTAGTACCTTAGTATAGTTTAAGTTGGATAAAGGTTGTTATTAATTCAGCTATATGATCTTAATTAAAACAGTTAGTTATTTGGTCTTAATAAATGGTAGATGATATTTAAAGTATGATATTTTATTGCAGGTATGAGGAAGAAAGTTCTAAAGACCCCTCAAAGGATGGCGACCTTAAAAACCTTTCAAACTACTGTGTATGGAAGAAGGAAGTAGATGATCCAGAAGTTGTTGAGAAAAACATTCTGGTAAGTGACATAGGTGTTTCCAAACACCCGTACATTAATTTTGTCATTTTTAATGTAGGATGTTTATAAATATAGAAACAATAATTTTCATGGAAGGTTATATTAATATGCAGAAAATTCCACAACATGTTATCAATACCTACTCGTTGATTCCGATAAGTAGGATCCAATTGGTGGATTGTGATCATGGTGATAAGTATGACTGTGAGCTTCATACCACAAGGAGGGCCAACTCTGTTGAGAAGTATATCTGACAAGGTTGGAATGACTATACAAAGAAAAAAAGGACTTAAAGAAGGAGATATTCTTAGTTTCACCATTAGGCTTCCTCCTGGGAGACGAATTTTTATGGCCGTTTTGAACCGGTGAATATAGAACCTTTTGTTGTTGGAAGTTCAAAGTTAAAATTGTGTACTTCTTTTGTTTGTTTAGAGGTGGTTGATGATAATTTAGGGATATTGGGCTTAGTATAGAAGATTATGTTTTGGTGTCAACTTTGTGTATTAATATAACAATGGAGAATGGGTAATGAAAAACATTTTATGTAAGTTTTTTGATGAAAGCTACAAGAATGAAGGGCTGCCTAAGTTTGTGAAGAATGGTATAACCATGCAGTACCCATGGGCCCTATTCATAAGGGTTGATTTTTTAAAATATGTATTAGTACAATGAAGATATGTAAATTTATATTAGTACTTGACATATAATTTCTGTTATTATTAATATATATATATATATATATATATATATATATATATATATATATATATATATATATATATATATATATATATATATATATATATATATATATATATATATATATATATATATATATATATATATATATATATATATATATATATATATATATATATATATATATATATATATATATATATATATATATATATATATATATATATATATATATATATATATATATATATATAATAATAATCGGCGAAAATATAGAGTCGCCACCATTAATTTTAATCCTAAGACGAGAATATAACAGAATAACCCTAATTGATGATACAGAGCTTCTAAGTCTTGACTCATTTTAGATGAAGAGAAGGTGTTAGGAACCTTTCATCTACCTTGTTCGCATGGATACTAGGGTTTAGGTTTAAGGTTTAGGAATGGGGTTATAACTTTTTAGTTAGGGGACTCGCCACGGTTTTTAAGTCGTATGCCTATGTATCCTCTTATGAGGAATCAAAGTCCCAACTCATAGTTTGCAGTGTTGGTTGGTGTTTTTATAGGATCACGTAGAATTGTTTTCAGATTAGCCTTGAGCCTTGTCTGGGTTGAAAAGTGAGTGATCGTAGACGCAATTCACAGTTAATTTTGAAAGTAATCCTATTTAATCTTTTTTTGAAAATATCTTATAATTTTGTTATGTTAGTAAAAAAAATGATAATTTGATGAGTTAGCTATTTTAATACAATTTGAAAGTAGAAATGAAAATAAATATTTGAATAAAAAATACTTAGAGTTAGTAAAAATATCGAAAAATTACTTAAGTTAGTATAAAATATTAATTAGTAATTTATATACAAGAATAATGATGTTTTAATTAGAATAACTAATTTTAAGTAATCAAAATTACACGCTAATTTTATTACCTAATATTTTTTTCTATGGTTGCATTTTTGCTAATGACAAAATTAAAGTAAAATAATCAAATTAAATTAATTGAAAAATTAACCTAAATAACAAAATAAACAAATGTGATGTAAGTGTAAGAAAGAAGTGTGAAAAAAAAGAGTGAGGTGTTTCTAAGAGTAACATGTTATTGAGCCCAAGACCCATAAAAATCTTAATTACTATTATCAATCAAATTAAACAATATAACAATAAATAAATAAATATGAACACTTACCTGGAAGAAAAGGGGCGCTGCCTCACATGATCATTATAGTATAACAAGCGAACCAACCACACGAGGATACTTGGCAAATAATTTCAATAAAAAAAGTAATGATAGCAATATATTATAAGAAAATAATAAAATTATTCTTCATTTGTGTGAGCAGAGTGTGAAAAAAAATCTATGTACATGAAAATAATGTGATACAGTTATTGTTAGTGTGTAAAACCATGAATACTAGTTGGTAATTGTTACTGTAAAAATGAAATAAAATTGTTAATATGTGTGTAGAAATAAAAATTGTTAATAAAAAAAATATTAATAAAAACACAAACCATCAGATACTCATCATGTGATTTTCACAGATGACAAATTAAAATTAAAAATTGAATTGAAAATACAAGGATGAACCTCATATGACATTATCAGCCAAAAATCATAGAAAATTTTAAAGGTTTGAAAAAAAGTATGAGCTGGAATCTCGAAGAATTGTTGATAATTATTTGCTATTGTTTGATAAAGACAATAATAACAGGGTTTGTGAAATTCGGGGGTGATTGTTGATTGTGAAAAATTCTGGATGAAAAATAGTGTAAAAGAATGACCTATTTATAGTGATAATTAGGTCAACAAATTAGGAAAATAAATTTGATTGGCAAATCAGATCTTCCTTGGTCAGTAAACTGATCAATCAGAAACTAGTTATGACACAAATCGACACCAATTGACCAATAAGAAATAACTAATCAGAAAAGGAAATATTTTTGGTATTTATTATAATTTTTGCACTCAATTTTGGTAAGAAGTGCATAAAATCAAATAAATAATAATTTTTAAAAATGTCTTAATAAAAAATACGAAAATTAATATTTAAATATTAAAAAATGATTTTTTTGTGATTTTGGAAATAATTAAAAATAGAAATAGTTAGTAACAAATAAACAAAAATATCCAAAGTGCACAAATTGAGATTTGAACCCTTAACCCTATATTTCCAAGCTATGCTTCCTTACCAATGGTGCTATGTTATTTATTTGAAATAAAAAGGCAATTGAAAGTATATGGAGACGAACAATTAAAAATACAAATAATCTGAAATAAATTATTATATTTTTAAATAGATTTGAAAATGAATTACCAGATTTAAAAATAATTTTGACTGTAGCACCAAGACGGACAAATTTGAGGTATGACAGTTGTCCCTATTTAATTACTCTTTGATTAAAGCGTGTGAGAGGGAACAATTCTCGCATGTTCAGATCAAAGAGTTATTAAATAATGGAAGACTCCAAAATTTGACCAAAGGATTATAAGGATACATTGTACAACGTCCCCAAGAGTACTAAGAAATAGGCAAAAATGATGATGTATCATCCTACTAGAGTTTGAACAAAGAGTAAAATTGAACTAGATGTGACGACGCGGATAACTCTCCAACACCTATAACATAGAGTAGATTTGGCGTATTTACCATAATCTAGGAGGTAAATAACACAAGTTGAAAGATTGATAATTATTGATGTATTGAGACTGATGCAACGAGCTATATCGCAGTTATGGAGTAAAAAAATACCAGTTTGAAATTTGTCTTACTAACGCTTCGGGACTAACATAGTAAGATTATAACACAAATTTTGTGTATTCATCACAGCCTAGTGATGAATAAAACACAGTTGATAATCCATTGTCGCGTGGAGACTTGACAAAATGAATTATATCGCAAAGAGACAGATAACCTATTGCTGCTTCGAGACTAGCACAATGAGTTATATTGCAAATTTTCACATACCTACCACAACCTAGGGGTAGATAACATGAGTATAGGTTTGTGTATTTAATACGACCTAGAGGATAAATAACAGAACCCTGATAATTCATTATCACTTAGAGACTGACACAATAAACTATGGATTTTTGCATACCTACCACAACCTATAGGATAGATAATACGAGGATAAGCTTGTGTATTTATCACGACCTAGAGGATAAATAACACAAACCTGATAATTCATTACCGCTTAGAGACTGACACAATGAACTATATATTTCCTCATATCTACCACAACCTAGAGTATAGATAATACGAGGATAGGCTTGTGTATTTATCACGACCTAGAGGATAAATAACACAACCCTGCTAATTTACATACCTACCACAACCTAGAGAATAAATAATACGAGGACAGGCTTGTGTATTTATCATGACCTAGAGGATAAATAACACAAACCTGATAACTCATATACCTACCACAACCTAGAGGGTAGATAATACGAGGGTAGGTTTGTGTATTTATCACGACCTAGAAGATAAATAACACAACCCTGATAATTCGCATACCTATCACAACCTAGGGGATAGGTAATACGAGGAAAAACTTATGTATTTATCACGACCTAGAGGATAAACAACACAACCATACTAATTCACATACCTACCACAACCTAGGGGATAGATATTTGAAAAGTATTTTGATAAACGAATAACTAAACCAAAGATAAGATCAAAGTTTACCGATTGTGTCTGTTCTCAACCAAGGCTTGATAATATAATAACCAAATGAAGTTGAATGTTTGAAAGGTTTAAATTTGAAAAGTTTGAATTTGATAATTGAAAGTATAATGCACGGAGGCTGGTGATGACTAGGCCTTGGATATGAATCATAGGTAAGCTTCCTAGTGAAATTTTGATAGCGGTACCTTTGATGGTTATGTCTGTTCTTAACCGAGGTGGATATAGTATGAAGAATTGATAGTGTTGAGCTTGGATTTGAATTTAAGTGTGTCTTGGCTGGTAAGCATGCCTTGAGATTTTCCGCAGTTTTCATGGGCATATATGATATGATTATACTTGATGTATGCATGATGCATGATATATAATGCTTGATATGATAATGTTATGAATTGAAATGATGCGATGATTGATAAATGCAATGCCCATGTTACTTTAACTGCGGATGTCAAGATAGGCTACCAGACAAGAACTTGACTTTTGAAATGATGCGCCAGACAAGAACATGGGCTTTTGAAATGATAATCCAGACAAGAACTAGGCTTTACACCAATGTCAGTAAGGCTACTGGAATAGTATCAATCTTGGAAAGGTGAAACAAACAACAAGGTCGCTAATATCGGTAAGGTCACCGGAAGACGTCGATCAGATGATTGGGAAGTGTGAGGCTGCTCACGACTTTTACATGAGGATATTTACGTATGGACGACTGATGAAAATTTGAGGATGCTCACATCTTAAATGGCTGGAAATTACGTAAGGCTACTTATGATTTGGTTTGACAAAGAACGCTTGTACGACAGACTCAATGGGAGGGATAGTAAAATAGATGTTACTGACTTAGTTGGAGATTGCACTTGGATTGAGAATAG